AGGGTATATTATTATCACTATTTTTTATAACACGATTTACAGCATTTTGAGTTAAATTACAAGCGTTGGATATTTCCCTGATTGAATATTTTACACAATTTCTCATTAAAATAATCGTATTTTTAGTTTCTTCTGTAATTGTTTTCCGCACTTTTCTTTCCATTGATATTTAAAATAAAAGAGTTAAAATTAATTTTATAAATGCACTTATAACTTTGCAAATGTGCGCTTATTACTTTGCAAACGTGCACTTATAACTTTGCAAACGTGCACTTATAACTTTGCAAACATACACTTATAAATTTGAAAACGAGCACTTATAACTTCACAAAACCCTGTAAAAAAAAAAAGGACTTGGGTATCAATCACTTATCTCAAAATATATTTTGAGATCAGTGGTATCAATGCAGAACTTCGGACGTCGTTGAAGCATCCGTGTTCGTAAGAGGTGTAAACAATATTATAATATAAAACAAGTGGTGTAAAGAATATTATATATAATATATTATATATAAGAGGTGTATTATAATACAATACAATAATAAGTAAAAGTAAAATAAAATGCAGTTTTACATAGTTTTTTAAAAATATTTTCATTTGTTTTTAATTATAAATATACGCATAGTTTTACAAAAGGATGCATGAGAAAATCTTTAAAACTTAATAGTTTTGTGTTAGCACAACATTGAAAACCTTGACCAATCGTTTGAAAATAATGAATGGAAGCTTCAACTTAAAGCGTAAAATTTTTTTATTGCCAATCAGGTTGAGAAAACTTACCACTGACTAATGGGCGATAAATATGCACAAGTTTGTTTTAGTTTACAAAAAAATAATGCTCTTTTACAGCAAGCAATAGCAGAAATAACCACTCCACAAGATTTTTTTTTTATTGACATTTTTATATATGATTAACATATTTCTGTAGAGTTTACGAAAAATTAAAAAAAAAGGGGGTCTTTCAACTTTAGAAGTAAGGCGAATCCGAAGTTATTGCATTTTTTGTGCTGGAAAAACTTGTATTTTTTGTGCAGGAAAAACTTGTAGTAAAATCGACTGTGTAATGGCACCGAAATAAAATAAGAAAACATCAAAAATCTAGCGTAAAAATTAAAATAAATGATACGCAAAGAAAAAAAAGCATTATTTACATAATTTCTATATACAAATCCTAAGTACTAAATCTGCAAGGAAACATAAATAAATACTTGTTTAAATTGAGAAAAGGCTATAATTGCTATTTATACATGGACTCTGAAAAAATACTATTTTTTCTAAATAAATCAACCAAAGTTTTTAAACGCTTAAAACTAAAAAGTTATGTATAAATGTTAAAAAGAGTCCATATTCTATTGATTCCTAGTCCCTTTTAAAATATATGCGAAAAGTTTCATACAAATTAGATGTGTTTTGGTACTAAAGAGTCCTTACCTTGTAAAGTTTTGTTTGAAAAAAGTTCCTGTGGTAAGCTCTTTTAATCAATAGTGGTCTCAAGACACGAGTAATATATAAGTGAAGCCATAAACTTACTATATTCTATAAATGGTTAGAAAGAGGTTCAGTCAAATTAATTGATGCAAAAGCTTAATTATAAAAAAAGAGATCAGAGAGTAAATTTCATGAAAATTGTGTGTTTTTTGTCAACATCAAATTTTATGGTTGCGCTCTGGAATCGCTAACAGGAAATCATCGGGCATATGTTACTTTTTTTCTGAAGTACCTTTTTTTTTTTAGAGAAAAGTCTAGATATAGAGGTCTTTTTTAAAAAACAAACGATTGTGCCCCTCCACTTCAAAATCCGTGTCGTGGGCCTTGCACGATGAGAATATTTCTTTGTATTGTTTGAATCTTTTTGACACAGTGCTTATAAGTATGTTTTCAGAGTATATGGAAGCAAGGGTGCCAAATAGGGAGAATATTTCTAAATGGTGTTTTATTACAGTCTCAGATTTACTATGGGAAAAAAGGAATAAAAATTGAAATGTTAAATACTTTTCAAACACAAGAAAATGTAAAATACTTTTACATTTTCTTGCGGTTGAAACCGCAACTAAATAGATTTTATTTAATGTCTTTGAGGGAGAAAACAAAATTCATGTTAAAGTTTTTTATGGTCTTGCAGAGGAGATAAGTTGATTTGACAGAAGTTGTAAAAAAATTTACTTGAGTTCATAGCATATCATCACAATTGGTTGAACTTTTTGAAAATAAGTACTAATTAATCAATTATAATGATTTTTTTTTCAAAAAAATGCATACTCAATTAGTTTTTATTTCAATGAAAAAATTTCAACTTATCCTTAGTTTTATAAAATGCAATTAGTATATATTTTTTGTAAATTACCAGCCATTATCTTCATAGTTCTAGGTTGTGTCATTTTTATGGTAGCACTATCCATATATCTCTGTATTTTTCATCATTATTTGCACATTTTCTTCTTCTATTCAGTATTCCCTTTATGATTGAGAAGTGCGCACAATTCTTTTGGTACAATAATGATGCTAAATTTTTTTTACTAGTCTATTACTTATAATAAAATACTGGATCGATGTCAGATCAGGTTATAATAAAGATGGTTGTTTGTGCTTTATAATAAATAGAAGAATTTATTTTGCCAAGCATGCAGTCAGGATTTGATATTAAAGTTTAACTTGTTCTAAAAGGACCACATCTATTGTTTACATCATTGTTATTTAAGACCACATCTGTAAATAGCCTGCTATACAAGAAATATTTTTATTTAAACTTGTAAAATACAAGAACAAATATTTCAACCTAAATGCACTTAACGTTGTCAGATGTTTTATAATGCTTTGAATGGTAATGTTATTGATTACCTGGAAGCATAAAATCGTACTTTTTGTCTTGTAATATGATTTCAAATTTATTTTTTTTAATACTTTTTAAACAAAAGATCTGCTGCATTTTAACTTTGTATTACGTTTTTTTGTTCTTTTAAAACCATTTTATTATTTCAATAGTTGGTTTTAAAAAAGTGATTCAATTTTGAGGGCATAGTTTGTTATGCAATTGCTGTAGAGCACTCTGATTAGTATTTGTGGAAGAAATAGTAAAAGTGCATCTACTGCACTTTTTCAATTTCACTGCAAGTTTTACTTTCCAGATCTGCATAAAATATTAAGATTAAATTCAGATATTGGTGTAATATTCAAAGCCATCTTATATTTTTTTCACTTTTTTATTTTGAAAATTTATCCTAAAAATTAAAAAGGAAAGAAGTAACTTTTTGCTCTGTTAAAGTATCAAGTTTTGTAGTGAAAAACAATAGATGTCTCCATTGGCAACAATTTTTCTTAGCAGCTCTTGCATCTTGTTCGTGACAGATTAGAGATTTTTTGCTTTTTATGGGCTCTGAATAAGAATGTAATAATTTTGTCTTAATGTTCCGTTAATTTCAATTTAAGAAGCATTGGTTTATATTTTGAGATGGATATTTGGATACAGTTTGCTAGAAATGCACTTGTAAGTCTTAAAGTTTTTTAGTCAAAATAGCTTTGTATAAAAAAGAAATATTATTTGTTTTTTAGTCAGGTTAGCAATGTTATGTTGAAGGATATCATTGTTATATTTGCTATATGTTGTTGTGTTCTTTATGTGTTTTATTTTGTTACTTTGGTTTTATGCTGTTGTTTTGATTAAACTTGTCACTTAGAAAGGCGTCTTGTGTTCTTTTTTTCTGCAGATATTTTATATTAAATTTTGAGTAATACATTGGGCCCATGTTCTTGACCTTCACACCTAATAAAGTTGTGCTTTTGTTATGATTGAAATGTTTCATAGTTTCATAATTATCAATTTTATAAAAATTGTTTATTTGATCAAATGGATGGTTCTCTCAACAAATCATTAAAAATAATAATCTAGCTATAAATACATCACTAGTTATCATTTCTCATTTTGTTTGCAATTAATGGTTTTATGAAGCATTTTCTTACTATGGTTTGTAATTTTTTTGTGAATTAAGTTACAGTTTTTATTTTTTTATAGACAGCTTTTTTTTAATTAGATTTACAATAATACTATTGTATGTTTTTAACATAGGGATCATCAAAATATTGAATAACTAATTGATTTTTATTGCTTTTTAAAAAAACACAAAAATACGACTTATTAGGGATGCTTTTTACTTTTATTTTATTAATAAAAATAAAAAATTTCTGAATGTTTTTATATTTTTATATTTTACATTCCTTGACTGAAAAATAGATAGAATATTTAAGGAGTGCCTCATTGACTACAAATTGATGAAACATGTGAGGTGCCTTGCCAAATCGACTGACAAATATGTAGGACATATTTGTCAGTCGATAGGACTTATGTAGTGACAAAGTGTGACAAAATGCGAGTGTGTTGCTACATCAACTGATAAATAGGTAGAATATGCAAGGAGTGCTACTACATCAACTAAGGGTATAAATGTAAATATGCAAAGTTGTAATATATATATATATATATATATATATATATATATATATATATATATATATATATATATATATATATATATATATATATATATATATATATATATATATATATATGGTCAAAATATATATATATATATATATATATATATATATATATATATATATATATATATATATATATATATATATATATATATATATATATATATGGTCAAAATATATATATATATATATATATATATATATATATATATATATATATATATATATATATGTATATATATATATATATATATATGTATATATATATATATATACATATATATATATATATATATATATATATATATATATATATATATATATATATATATATATATATATATATATATATAGATATATATTAAAGTATAATGTATATATGTAAAAGTAATCAATACAATTCTCCATGTACTTTTATTTTATAAATACAATGCTCCACATTATTTATTATTACATAATGTTATCATTTTGTAATATTAGTTTATATTGTATTATTTCACATTTTAATCGTAGTTATAAACAATGGACATAAAAATAGAAAACTTTGGAACTTTACCAAATGGTGAAACTGTGAAAAAGTTTGAAATAACAAACAAGAATAACATGAAAGTCTCTCTTATTAACTATGGAGCTGCGTTAATAGGTCTCATTTGTCAAGACAAGTAAGTTTTTATCTTAATGATGCATTTGATGTTTTTCTTTTTCTTTAATGATGTAGTTAATATGTTTTTTTTCTGTAGTGATTTTAATTCAATTAGGTCATTTTATATGAAATGAGTCAAGTTTTTGAAAGTTTTCCAGGTTCTCATTTTATGTAAAAAAAAGGGTTTCCTCATAAGTTTAACTTAATATATCTAATAACTAAAAGAAATTTGTTGTCTTTTCTCAAAATACTTTATTAAAGTTGTATAAATAAAAAACTATTTATAATAAATGTTTAAAAATCAATATGAAGGAAATAAAACACTTTGACTTAGAACATTTTTTTAATCAACCTATAAAATGTATAAGATATTTAATTGTATTTTTGCAGTTAAAGAACATTTGTTTTTAAACATCTAATTAATTAATTAAGAAAACAAAATAAAACATAATAAATATAAATTGCACAATAAGGTCTATATTTATATAATAACTTAATTTAATGACTTTTTATTTAATTTTTTCATATAAGCACAAGTTAAGTTTTTTGCAAAGCATCATAGTTAAAACATATCAAATGGTGGTAATGAATGTTGTTGCTACGCAGAAAAAAATGATATCAATAATTATCTATAAATGATAATTAAGCTACTAATTGTACTCATTCTACTTACAACTCATTAATAAAAAGTTTACTTCAATTTTATGCTATACAGTTAGTACAATGGTTGCAAGTTTAAGAACAAAACATTAAAGTTTACAACTAAGGGGTTCTCTATAAAGTACGTATGCAGGAATGGGGGAAGGAAGACCCAAAAGTGTAAATGGGCATTTTCATTTCAGTGAGTCAAAAAAAAAAAAAATGAAATTTAAAAATGATTATTTTTCAATTTGGGATTCAAAAGATAGAATTCAAAAGAAAATAGGGGATATTTTGTTTTTACAAAAGAATAATTATAGGAGAATTTTTTTTCATTTTTAAATTATTCAAACTTCGCAATGAGTATAATTTTTTTCATGATAAAAAACAAAAATTCTTCTTACATGTGCTCATGAAGTTTAAAGTTTATTTCATTGTCCAGATTTTTTAATTCTTAAAGATAATGATGAAAATATTGTCCTTTAATATTTTATTATCATAAATTGTAACAAATCTTGGAAGTACCTTATGCCAAAATGAATAGCGTTTTGATTTCTGTGTGTGATTTAAAAGATCTAATTTTTTGGAGAAAGAAGTGTTAAAAAAACTGATTTTTTTTACTTAGTGCATTTTTAGGTTAATGAATCGATATTTTAGCATTGTTTTTTTGCATCATGCACAGAGAAATATTCATCCACGCAAATTTTTTTAACTTTATAACGTTTGAATCACTTATTTGCTAATGAATTAATTTGAGTATAATTTAGTTAGATTGAAATCGTTGCTTAAAAAAATTTAGAATTAAAATGAACTAAGTTAAGCATTCAATTGTTCAGAAAAAATTTAGAAAGGAACATCCATAATATCAGGTTGCTGAAACTAATTAAACGAAGAAAAAAAAAAGCTAACATGAGAGACAATTAAAAGGAGGAAGTGCGTCGAAAAGATTGCGAAAGAAAGAAGCGAAAGTGAGAGGTAAATCAATCTATATCTGATATTGAACAGTCCTTTTTATATCCACTAAGTTTTAAAAAGGCACTTAAAAAAATTTAATTCAGCATTACCTGCTGATTCAAACAAAAGAAAATACACGATGTTTACCTCTGCATATACCATGAAAATTTTAGGTTTTTGCGCAGAAAATTGAACAACCACTAACATTTTTGTTAGAGGGGTGCGTATTGCTGCACTTTGTTGTGGCTTTATATTCGTCATGTGTATATAAAGTGACAACAAAGTGCATATTTTTGTATATGTCACCAAAATGTATCAAAAAATTACGCATGTAAAATTGTTATTTCATTTGTAGTACAATAACAAAATTTAATAATTTTGTATTTTTGGTATATTTATAAACTGACTATTCATCCATTTATATTTTTAATTCTTCCAAAATTAGTTGGGTTTCAGTGAAAAATACACCATAATGGAGCAGAGTAAAATTCAATGTGCTTACTGGGTTCATCAGCAACTAACAGTTGCTGATGAACCCACAATTCACTGCTGCAATTTGGAATAAGAGCAATACACATTCCTATGCCATTGTATGTGATTATTTATTTCATGATAAATATGCCGTCTTGTTTATTATCAAACAATTATTAAGTCGTTGTCAAAATATTTTTAAATTAGACTTTTTCATAGATGGTCTTTCATCACAATTCAAAAGTTCATGTCATGATAGCTTTGAATAATTTGTGCAAATTGTCATCTGCTCTTGTCGAAATTTGTTGGTCTTTTTATGCAACATCACATGAAAAAATGGCAGTTAATGACATAGGTGGAAAAATAAAAAGAATGGCTCGGACAACAGTAAAATCTGGAAAACGATATTGTTGCAGTTTGAAAGAGTTAGTGAGCATTGCAAGTGAAAAAAGTGCCAGAATTACAGTAATTCATTATTTAGAGAAAAAACCTAAATATAAAAGTTGTAGATTTTCGTTTTTTTAGATCATCTCGATTACAAATAAGTGTGTTGCCACAAACCAAAGTGAGATTGATGAGATGCTTCTTAAAGATAAATTTAATCAAGATAAGTCAAGAGTATTTGTTGTAACCACTCTTTTCTTTTTAATGTTGATGGTGCTTTTATAGCAATTTGTAACCTATCAGAAATGGTAAAAATTGTTGAGAAACTATCTTCTTCATTATTGGTAAATGCGGTATCATCTCCATCTAAAAGTTACAAATTTAATACTATTTTCCCAGGTATATTTATCTTTGTAGAATTGTGTTCTGCTGGTAGAGCAAAGACATACCTTGCTGAAGTATTAGAAATTGTAGATAATATGGCACATATTAAATTTCTAAAAAAACAAAACAAACTCATTTTTATATATTCATTTGTAGGTGACTTCCTGGCATGACTTGTGTGAGTTAAAACCGTTAATACCGCAAACACAATTTGATAACCGTGGACACATTATTAAGCTGAAGTGTTACAACTAAACTTAATGTAAAAAATTTGATATTATAATTTTCGTATATTAAATATAATATATTAGCTATATAATACATTATTTTTCTTTAATATACTACATTGAAACATCGTTTTTTAATCAAATTTACATTTAATATAATTTTATTGATATATATTTGTTTATGATAGTCAAAATTTTTAATTTATTTCCAAAAAAAGAATCCAATAATGACAAATGTTTCCTAAAACTTAATTTCTTGCATGTTTCCTAAAACTTAATTTCTTTTTTTTTTTTGTAAAAACAGAATTTCACAAGTTTAGAGGGGTTTTTAAAGAATACAGTTGCGTAGAAAAGGGGCCCTTAATCAATCGTTTTACTGCGTACATACTTTATGGATGTTTCCTAATGTCAGTAATTAAAGTCTTGTTTTTTAAAATATATGCACTTGTACTTCTTATTTTGTGAGTTTCTTTTTACAAAGTTAGGACATTTTTAAAGGACTGGCAAGGGTTTTTATACAGAATTAGCTGGATTTTTTTTACAGGGTTAGCAAGGTTTTTAAACTTGGTTTCTAAAGTATTATCAAGTTTGGTTTTCCCTTGGATCTTTTTTTATATTATGCAAATGATATTATTATTATTTTTTTTTTTTTTTTTGTAAAATGTTATATTTCCTAAAATATTTTCTTTTTTTTTTTTGCATATTTTTATTTCTAAGGTTTGGGAAGTTTGATGATATTTTACTTGGATTCGATGATTTGGAAGGTTGTTTAATTTAATTTCTTTATATTTTATTTATTGAAGCATAAAGATAAAACTTTATGATTAATTGCCGTAAGAATTTTATCTCACAGCAATGAGATCTTTTATCTTTTTTGTTTTTATTAATTTCTTCATAAGAATAAGTCATAAAAAGATGACACAGCTGACATCTTTTTATGTAGAAGAAGTATATAATAATACAGAAGTATAAAATAATGGCTTTTTTATTTTTTTATATTTTTATATTTGTAAAGATACACATAAAAGATAATTAAAAGATCTTGTGAAATAATCTCTAAAGTTATTTATGTTATCATTTGTTGTATCTAAATTCTGCTGAGTCCCCTAAACTTAGATGTCTGACTAAAAAAACTGTTCAGAATTTTTATACAATATAATAAAATTATAAGAATAAAATTTAAAAATTCTTGCTATTAGTACTACTATAAATAACTACATAACAGTTTATCCTAGAATGATTTTTTCTGTTGTCCTTCGTAGTAAAAGTAGAAACAGGAAATTAATTAATGCTTATAATATAGGTTTGAGAATTTAGTAAACCAAATTTATATTATTATTTGGGAATATAGTTTCTTGACAACTTTATACAAATTAGAGCATTTTTATACAACCATATACCCATCCTGATGTTAACTTGTTTTGTATATCAGAGTTTTTGTTTGTGTAAACTTCTTCTACCCTTACTCACAATTAAATAAGGGGTTATCTATTTTATTAGATTTTTCTTCTCTGAGGTAAGTTCCCTTTACCATAACTAATGAGCCTAATATGCCCTAATATGTAATGCTAATGTTTAATATCATGATCCGGACAAATATATTTTCATTTAAGATAGATAAGAACATAGTTAAGATAGATGAGAACATTATTCTGATAGATAAGAACATTATTAAGAAAGATGAGAACATTATTAAAATAGATAAGAACATTAGGAAGAACATCATTAAAATAGATAAGAACATTAAGAAGATATATAAGAACATTATTAAGATAGATAAGAACATTATTAAGATAGATAAGAATGTTACTAAGATAGATAAGAATGATAATGTTAACAACATTTTCAAACAACTCTAAATATTGTGAAAAATAGTATTAAATGCAAATTTGAAAGTTTTATATTTTGCGCATAAACAAAAGTACATCTAAATACATTTGTACAAAGTAATACAGTATAATTCACACAATCTAATTGGTGTGCAATTATATCAGTTTTATATACTATGTTCCATGTAACTGTATAGTACCTGATAATAATTATTAATAAAAATTACTCTAATAGTTTATGTTATTTATGTGCAGTAAGGTGTCCCAAAGTATTTGTGTGCAGTAAGGTGTCCCAAAAAAACACTTTTTTTATAATTTGCTCTTTTTATAATGCCCTCTCAACTGATTCCCATTCTATAGGTCCTAAATAACTATCAGAATCTTTTTTTAAATTTTATTAATGACTAGAAGTGATAGGTGTAAATTCTGAGTTTTACTGTTTTGTACACACATGTGTATTTACATATAAACAACGCTATCTAATATTTCAATATGTTTTAATATGATGTAATAATTGGTACACAAATAATTCCCATAGGACATTATTAAAGATTTGTATCAATCCCTATAAACATTGTTAGCGATTGATATAATTCCCTCTAGACAATATTATTAGTTGGTATAGTTCCCCATTGATTGGTTCACAAATAATTCTATATAGAAATTTTTTTTTGAAGGAAAAAATTTCTAAATGGAATTATTTGTGCACGAAGGAATTCTAATTTGTGCACGAGGAATTCCCATGTAGATGGTTATAAAAGCCATAACGGTAAACAGATAAAATACAAAACAGTAAACGGAAAAATACAGAAAGGTTGAGGTATATTTACCTATTGAAGTACCTATTGAGGGATTTACCTCAGAGACAGCTAATTCCATCTAATGGTGATGTTCTAAGATACTATCAATTTATCCTTCGCAAGTCACAGGTTAAATACAAACCCACTTCTACTAATGTTGGTTGCAAATTGAAATCGAAATCCAAAGATCTTGTTTTTAAAATGTGTTTGTACAGATCCTGATAATTCTTGCTTGGTAACTAGGATTAAAGAAATTTGGGATAATGCTGGGTTTGGCAAAAAACTTGTGATTTCTGGGTACAATATAAAAACCAAAATCATTAAACTTAATTTAAAATACAAGAAATTGATTAAATTATCTTCTCTAAACTGGGACAGCAGTCTTGGTAAGCAATCAAAGTTTTTCTCACAGAGGTTTTCTCACAGAATCCTATCAGATTTTTGACATCTCGACTAAGAATTTTGAAAAATATATTCTTGCTGATAGATTAAGAACAGATGGTGCCAAGCTGGAAGATATAAAGTAAGTTCAATAAATAACACTTTTTTGAGTAGTGAGATTTTCATTTTGATTTAAAGTAACTTAAGTAATAGCATATAATTTCCTTTCAAATATTTACGTTCAACTCTTTCTATGGTTTGGTCATCTTCCAAGAAAAACTAGAACAAGTATTAATTTATTTATAAATGTCTTAAAAGATTTAAATATTTTTTTAGTTTTTATGAAGACCAGAAGTTGGATAGGAAAGGATATATGGAAACAAAAGTTGACGGAGACTACAGTAGGAGAGTACTGGATGCAAATAGGAGAAAGAGCAAGCTAGATAAGTTGAGAGATAAAGAATTAAAGAAACAGAAAAAATTAAAAGATATCAATGATGTTTTGTTGTCACATAACTCCATGACAGAAGAGATTCAATTCAGCAGTGAGGAAGAATAGTTAAATAAGGACTCTGAAATCAGCAAGGAAGAAGATTTCCTGGGTAATGGCTGGAAACGCAGGTATATTATTATTTTGATAACATTTTTGTAATTTTCACAAACTAAAGCTGTTTTATTGAAAAGTATATAATTATAAATAGGTAGAAAAATATTATAAAATGATACCTAGGTACAATTCCAACAACAAGGTCAATGTTGGTGTACGACCTCATCTTTCAATTTTAAGTGAAGTATTTAAAGCTGAAGGTAAAGAAATTACCTCTACATATTTGAACTTTTTTCTATTGAAGCACACTTCATAGAAAAAAGTTCAAATATGTAGAACTTAAAGGAGACTTGGAGTGGATTTCAATATTGAATCATCTGAAAGGCTGATGGCTTATTCTTCATTTTGATACCAAACTGTTGGAACAAATTACCACTGGACTTAACATTATTCAAAAAATTAAGCGACTTTCAGTCTCAGTGAGCTCCCCGGATAATGATACCATGGAAGACCATCTTTTAGGTGTTGTTCAATGTTCCTCTTCATAAGGATTTGACCATGCAGAACAAGTGCACAATCTTTTAGAATATTAATGATGTAAAGAGCAGATTATTGGTATATGCTGTGATGCAACTGTAAGCAATACAGGCAGAGTCAATGTAGCAGTCCAAATTCTTACAGATATCTTGAAATTACCAATGTTGTGGATAATGTGTAGGAGACATATATATGAAATACATGTATCTCATTATATGGCTGCTCTTATTGGTGAGAAAATTATTGTTTTCAAGGAATGATTATGGTATAGTTTGTAAGTTTGCCTCCTTCTTCCTTGGAGCGGAAGTATAAGATTTAAAGTTCCATCAACCTAGCGCCTGCCATGAGACAAGGTTTTTAGCAGATGCGATTTACATCCTGACTCTTTATATGACCAAAGATATCAGTAATATCTTGACAGAAAAAGAAGTGCTGCAGTTGAAGGATGCAAGTTTGTTCATTGCAATTTGCTATGTTACATGGTTTTTGAAAATTTTTTAGGATTTCTGGCTCCTACAATGATTTGAAAGCTGTCCAGACAGCCTATGCATTGAGAAAAGTCAGTAAAAAGATTAGAAAGGCTTTGCTTCTCATCATGGAATGCCATATGTGGTAATTAACTCTGCAACTCTGTTTTTATTCCTTTGGGGATAAAGAAGTTCCTTCTGAAACAAAGCTAAAAATGCTGTTAGTTCTGATTGAGTTTGAAGAGTCAAATGAATTTCAGCATTGTAAACCATCAAATGTACAAATTGGTGAGACTACAGAGCTGATTTCTGAGCAAAGTTACCTTCTCTTCAAATATTTTAAAATATCAAGAGCAAGTATAAAAGAATGGCTCAATAAGAGAGTTTATAAATATAAACTGTCGAGTTAAATAGTAACAAAAACAAATGGAAATGGTTTATACGCATCTAATTTTTTGTTTAAATTTTCTAAGATGTAAAAAAATTGTGTTTTTTATTAATGTTAAGCCAGCTTAACATTAAAACCGTAAAACTCAGATTTTACATTTTTCCTGTCCAAATAAAACTGTTAAATTTTTTTTAGGTCTAATTTAGGTCACAGAATGGGAATCAGTAGAGAGCTTTTTTTTTTTGGGCACCCTAGTGCGCATTCATGGTGCAGTGGTTAGAGTTCTGGCTCAGAACCGAGGTTTGATTCCATTTCTAGCCCAATAAGTGTCATTAGTAAGAAAGGAGGTGTGAACTTTTAATTTAGAGTTAAAAGCTTTTTCATTGTTTCTTTGAAAGACTTCGGTAATCACCTTAATAACTACACACAGTATTAAAATTTAAATTCAAGGTTTAAGAATACATAAAATTTTATGAATAATAATTACTTACAATTAGTTTATTAATATAATTTTGATAATTTAAAAAAAGCTATTGTTGATTGTGTAATTATAACTATAAATATAATTAAATTTAATACGTTCATTATGGTAAATTATTAAGAAGTTTTAATATAAAATAATATATAATAATATAATATATAAAATGATCGTGTAATAATATGTTCATGCATTAATATCATGATTATTTAATAATATATTAGTAAATAGTTTTGCTTTTGTTGTTTATAAATTTTTTTTTGTTTATTTGTTTTTGCCTTATTTACAATTATTTTGGATCTACAATTTTACTTTTTAAAAGTTATCTGAATTAAAATTATTTTTTTTGAAAGTTTTTTTTTACATACTTAAATTTTAGACCTACAGTTGATTGCATTGCAAACATTTCAAGTTTTTTTTTGTAAATTTTATCAAAGGTTATCTCAACTACAATTATTTTGGATCTACAATTGGTCGTTTTGCGAACCGTATATGCAAAGGCAGATTCAAAATTGATGGAAACGAGTATCAGTTAGCACAAAATAGAGATGAAAATCATCTTCATGGTGGATATGTAGGATTTGATAAGGTTAAAAAGTTTTTTATTTTTATATTGAGACTCATGTTTTCATTAGATAGTTAGCTATTTATTTGCTTTTTTTTGCGCTTGTCACAATTATGTCTATGGGTTGGTACATCCCTAAAAAACCCTAAGTCTAGTGTGATGCACTCTTCCACAGATAAAAAAATATTTATTTGAGGGTCAGGTTTAGGGTTAATTTTTGTATTATAACAACCTGACCCTTGCCTTAACACTATTTGGACCAGTCATAACTCTAAATCTGGCCCTATCATGACCTTTATCATGACCTTTATTACCCTAAACCCTGCCCTCACTTAATCTTTTTTTATTGTTGGTGGAAGAATGTGTTGTTTTGGACATAAATTGTAATAAGCGCTAAAAAAGCAAATAAATAATTTTATCGTACACTGCTTAACTGAAGGATTTTTGTTTAATGTTTGTTAAATATTAATTAATATTAAAATTTTATTAGAAAAATAAAATAAATTTTAACTTTTCTTGAATTTAGTAAAAGATAAATTTTTGCTTCAACATAAACATCATCCTAATTGCAAAATCCTTGTTCCTGATTCCTTGCTACAAAGTCATTAATCTTTTATTAGAAAAATAAAATAAATTTTAATCTTTCTTGAATTTAGTAAAAGATAAATTTTTGCTTCAACACAAAAATCATCCTAAATGCAAAATCCTTGTTCCTGATTCCTTGCTACAAAATCGTTAATCTTAAATGAGTTTTTTTTTATAATATTCTGGAGTTTATCTCTGTTTTTATTTGATTTTACAGCCCTGGCAACATAACATATATAAAAAAAGAAATGTTTAACTTTTCTTTTTTTCTAGTCATTGCTGTATACCTATATTTTTTGAGTTTGCCTTAAACATGCTCTTCAGATAAAAGAGTGTAAATCTAAGAAATTGTTAAGTTATACATGCAGACATTAGTGACATTGTTAAGTTATACATGTAGAGCATTGGTGCTTTAGCTGCTAAAACTGTGGAAAAAGTAAATAAATAATAAAGGCATTCTCCTCTTCCTTGAAAAGAATTGTTGGTTTTTCATACATTCATTGTAATTTACTTTATAAATCTATAAGATAATATTATAAATTTATGATTATAAAATAATAAATATTTTAAAATAATTATATCAAAAATGAAAATCGGTTTTTATATGCATAATAAATAACCAACATGTTACCTTGTTTAAAAAAAAAAATTAGTCCTGTAAAAAAGTAATTTTTTATTTTAAAAACACTATAATATCTTTCATATATTTTAATAGTGTTCAAGCTGTTATTGTAATCATTATATGAAAATAATTCAGTAGTACAACAAATTACCTTAGAATTCATTTATGCGACAGTTAATGAAGCTTTTAAAAGCTGTTGTTTAAAAAAAGAAATGACACTTTGACAATCAATCCAGATTTTTTGTTCTACTGTCTATTTCTCTACTATCTTGTTCTACTTGTTAACTATTTGAACAGAAAAGTTGCATTCAGGCAATAACTATTGTGCTCCACATATAAAATTTGTTTGTTATGATCTGCTGTGCTGGTCTTATCCATAAGCTCTGTTCATGGTAGTAAGTGACTGGGGCTCTGGCCCTGGCTAAAAATGAGACTTTTTTCAGCCCCTGCCCCAGTAAAACTATAATATTTAGCAGAGGTTGATAGTTGCAGCTAGAAAAAAATTGTAATACTTTATATATTATAATTTTATACTTACTATTTACTATTTTTTAAATACTGGCATATATTTATATATTCTTAAACTCTAATCTACTTCTAACAAGATTACATGCTGTCACTATTAAGTTACTTTAAAAATTTTAAGAATAAGTAAAAATACTAGGAAATGGTTAACCATAAAACTTAAAAAGTTTTAAGTTGTATATAAAAGGAAAACATGAAGTTGGCTAAGAGTTATAAGGTTTTTTTGATATGCAAGGAAAAAAACTAGATTAATAAAAGTTTTTATAGCATGAAGGGACAGATACAGTAAAAGGATGCAACTTTTTGAATAAGAAACAAGCAAGAATGAGTTATAGTTTATTGTAATTAAGGCTGTGAAAAATTGCAAAAATGCTTGCCCGGGTACCCATTGAACAAACAGGCGGGTACCCAGGTACCCGTTAAAAAACAATATATTTTTTTTAAAGGCATAAAGATGAAAGAACAACAACAGGCTTTTGCAAAACTTTTTTTGGTTACAAATTGATTAAATTTTATTATAACATTTTATTTATTTACAATAATCTTACTACACACACTTAAAAAACTTCTTTTTACAAAAATTTTTTTTCGAAAAATTGTATACTTTTTTAATAAGAAACTGAAAACGCTTTATATATAATTTGTTTAACTGAAACTTGGGTTTCTTTGAAAGATCTTTGATATAATTCTACTCTCCATCTTCTAGGCTTTTATATCTAACGGTGATAAAGAAATCAGAACTATTTCTTCAAGATCTTATTTTACATATTAATTTCATATTGTAAAATTCTCAAGAAGATTGATATTGTTGATAAGAAACAATACAGGAACAAAGATAGAACCTTGTGGTACCCTTAAAGTTACTTGAAATAAAAAAGAGAGTAGGCCTTCAAGAATAATTTTAATAAAGCAGTTAAAAAATATAATTTAATTATCTCAAAACCTTTATATAAAGAAATTAATAACAGAGTAAAGACTAATCATAGGATAGTTGGAGAGGTCAAAGTGTTTTCTAGAGTTTTTAAAAATTGGAACTACTTATTTAGTACTTTTAAAAAATTTAGCAAAAATTGAAAAGAGTTCACAAGAGAAGACTTTTTTAAGACTATGATAGAAATCTTGTCTGAAGCACAAAATGTTTAATTGATAATTAACTTTAGCATTGGAAGATTTGGATGTTTAACAATGAGTTAATTTGTTTAACTAGCAGAAATAGTATGACCATTAGATTCAAGACTCCAATTGGAGTAAGATTTCTTTGCAAATAACTCTGCTATTTTTAAATCTTGCTATTATTTCTTGTAAAAAAGATGAAATAGATGATTATAAAGAAAAACTGCTCAAGATGGAGAAAAATGTGGAGTAGAATGAGGCTTGACTTAAAATTGAAGAGTAGGAATAAAAGCTTCCAAACTTTTAGTCCGGTAGCAATAAAAGCTTCCAAGATGCGCTTTATGCATCCATATCATGATATTAGCATATATGTTTGCTATTTATTTAGATGCTGGCATACAATATCCTTTCATATTTATATAAACTTTAGTATTTATATGGTTCAGTATTTACCAAAACAGAAGATGATCTTATGATGATGATGACCATAATGATGATGATGTGATAATGATAATGATGATGATGGTGATGATTATGATGATCATGTTGATCATATTAATATTTATATATGAATATTTATACACAAAATATGACATGGATTTTGAATAAAAATATATACCTTAGGATATATAAATGTCTATGTAATATCTAAAATATCTTTTAGGATGTAACATATTATATTAAATATTTTATCAAACCCAGCCTCGGACCAAGTCAAATATCAATCCAGGTTGCTTACTAATTCATGGTGGAAAGGTTTTTTTTGATAATGGGCACCTCTATCTTTTCATGACATGTAAAAATTAGGTTTATTGTTTATGGCGGTTCCTAAAAGCCCTTTGGAGAGGTGATTATGTACATATTGGCAGATGAACAAAATATCCTGAAATGTTTGATTTGCAAGACTGGAAAAAATTGCATAATGAAATGCATCCAGTGAAAGCTTTATTTAAAAAAAATTATTTATGAAAACATTATAGTATTGCATAAATTGCTTTATATTGTATTTTTATACTTTAAATATTTAATGCACGATTTAATGATCAAAGGTTATTCTTATCTTTTAAATTATAAAGCATGAGATCTTTAAATTTGGAACAATGAAATTTGTTTTAAAACTTGTCACCAACACTAAATTTTTTTTTCCACGTAATTGCATTAAGTAATTACAGTATTAATTAACAACATCAACAAAATAAAAATGTCATTAAAACATTTAGAAAAACAGAAAAAATTCTGAACAACTATCTGCAAAATCCTTCTGCATTGTTACTTTCAATTGCTAAACAATCTGAATCTAGAAAAGCTATTGTTTATATGGTCATAAAACAGTACAAGAGCTCTCTATCTATCGAATGAACAAAAGGATCTAGAAGAGTGGCTTTAAGGATAAGAAAGCAGCAATTAGTATTCAACAATCATTGAAAAATCCTGGTTTATTGAACAGAGAACAACCCAAATGGTATAAAGTTTCAGAGTTTTTTAAAGATTAAATTTTAGCAAGCAATATACAGCTGTGGTTTGAGATCTCAAGCTTTTGTCACATTGTCAACTTTAAACTCGAATATTCTCATCAAAGAATACTTGCAAGCTAGACTTTTGTAATTTTATCGAAGTTACGATGTCCCCTGTTGATTCTGGCCTAATCTTGCTTCTTGTCGTTATTCTAAGAAGAGTGGTACAGTTTAAGAGACATCAAATTCATATCAAAAAGCTTCAATCCATCAATCTGCACACAGTTCCATCCAAAAAATTTTGGGGAATTGGCAAAGTAAATTTGCTTAAGACTGGTAAAACAATAAATACAGCTAAAGATTTGATTAGAGTGTGGACATCAGTAGGAAAAAAAACTGTTCAAGACATTTTTCAAAATTTGATGTCGTCAATTAGCGTAAATGTTTGCTTATTTATATGAAATAATTAAACTGAGTTTTAAAACTCGAATCTCATTAGTAGATAACAGGAAGAATTGTATAGCCATTATCAAGGAGGCTCAAGCAAAAATTTATGAGTATAGTCAAGCAGATCCAGCATTCATCATCCTAGGCAGGAAACAATGTAACACAGGTTTTTATCTATGTCAGTTAAATAGTTGAAGAAAAGGATCATGGCTAACAGAATTATTCTGCTTACCCCTAAAGTCTTTGCTTAGGAGACTTTCTGCAAGACAGTAGCTGGATGCAGTTAGTATCTGCTTAAGATAAGTTTCTTTATGGAGATGCCATATCTAGCCTTTACTCAACTAAGAGTCCACAGCAAGGTTATAATCCTGAAAACTGACCTGACCTGGAATAGTTAAAAGTACTTTAAAACATTGATGGGGATATTTTGGAAATACATTAGGAAAAATATTACATCTTACAGAATATCAGAGATTAAGTTGGTGGTTAAAAAGAGTTTAAAAAATATGTTTTACAGTTGGTAGAGTTACTAGTTGGTAACTGAGCTCACACAAAACCTCATTAAAACTGAGTCACTCAGCTTACACAAAATCTCATTAAAACTGAGTCACTCAGCTCACACAAAACCTCATTAAAACTGAGTCACTCAGCTCACACAAAACCTCTTTTTTCTATAAAAAGTATTTTGACAATGCTTCACTCAAATCAAAAAATCGAAAAATATTTATAAATCTTAACTCTTTCACAACTGCAGTTTTACAGAATGTCTCTTACCTGCAAACACAATTAATTTTTAAAAGAAATTAGAATTTCATATAAAAATTAGAATCACAAATAGTTTTTCAAATTTTTAAAATTTTTTCAATTCTTTAAAAACAAAACAAACTATAAACATGCAAAAAAAGTTAAAAAAAACTTTTTTTAATATTTTAATTTATAACATTTAATAAAAAAATTTGTAGAGAGTTCAAAAGCATTTAATATTTAAATAAATGATTAAATTGCTATCATTAACTTGAAATCAAAGTAATAAAAAAAAACCTCTGTCAATGGCTTGCAAAAAAAAACTGAAAGATTTTATACCAAACTTTTTTTTTCACAACCATAGGAAATTGATTGAGACTACATGAAAACATCAATAATATGTAAAAAAATTTTTGGAATTTTATTATTTTCTTGCAGGTTAAAAACACTAATATTAACTTTATTGTTTTAATGTTTAGAAACTTTGGAATTGGTCGCTTCATCATAATGATGGTGTTGAATTTAGTTTAGTTAGCGATGACAATGATGAACAATACCCAGGAAGTCTGACAGTTAGTGTTATATACAAAATTACAGATGATAATGAGCTAAAAATTATTTTCAAAGCAACTGTGGGTGGTAAAGCAACATTGATTAATATGACAAATCATGCTTTTATTAACTTAACTGGCCAGGTAAAATCAGAGAAATTTTTGAAAATAATTTGATGTTTGCAGTTTTATAAATCTTTTATCTTTTTTGTTTAGAGTGCAGGTGCTACTAGCATTTTAAACCATGTCCTTAAAATTAATGCCCTCAGTTATCTTCCTCATGTTAACTTAATACCTTCTGGTGAGAATTAATAATATTTTTTATATGAACAAAATTTTGAAAACTTATCCTTTATTATTCATTTATTGTTTTTAGGTGAAATAAGAGCAGTTGATAAAAACTTTGATTTTTTGCATGGAAAAAAAATTGGTGATGAAATTAATGATGTTCAAGGGGGCTATGATCATAATTATTGCTTACCTGATGGTGACACTTTTTGTGCTCTGTAAGATTTTTTTTTTTTTGATAATTTATGTTATAGGTGCCCCAAGAAAACTTAAGGGTCTTGTCACAGAGCATCGTTAACTAAAAAGTTATTGCCTCCTTCCTTACTGATGTCATGAATTATGCCCAGAGCTTGCTTAAAACCCTGGGTCTTTTGCTTATAAGGGGCTGTTCAAATAATACGTGACAGTCTTAGGGGGGGAAGGGAGTATTAGAAAGTGTCACTAAATGTCACATGGGGGATGGGGGTGGTTTGCCTCAGTGTGACGTGACAAAAAACATTTTAAATTAAATTGTTTATCACTGCGTAATTAAATTAGTTTATATTGCAAACTCGGAGGTATTTATATATAATACTGATTTCGAGAAAAATTATATGCAACGACTTCACGAATAGCGAGCGTTTTTTGTTTAACTTTCACTTAACAAAAATTTTTGTTTTTGTTAAATGATTGGATTTGATTAATTTATATTTACTCCGTACAAAATTATTTTTGTGGAAATTGTACGCATAAAAAGAAATTCTAATCCTACGAACATAGAACTAGATAATGGGCAAGTATCTAAAAACAATTTATATTACTATCAAAAATCATATTTTATTTTTTTAACACTATTTATATTAATAGACTAAAAAGTTAAGTGTTATTTTTGCTTAAAATTAGGTCATCGAATATAATACATAATTGATATTATTCTATTTTCAATGTTATTATTAGTATTACTTTTAATATTTTGTGTCACTCTATTGCAAATAATTGGTCTAATTACTATATTATTTTATTATTATGTTATTATTTTATATTTATATTTTTATTATTCATTAAGTTAGTTAGATTGTTAACGAATTTTAGTATTAATAATGCTATTGTTAACATTAATTCACAATGTGCTTGTTTTTAATTAATGGTTGTTAGGAAAATAAATTTGTCGTTGTTGTTATAGAATAAAATTGTCTAGTGAAAAGGAACAACTTTACAAATCTATTTATGAAGGATATTTAAAAGCATTTGCAAACAAACCAAAGCAAAAGACTCAAGTATAAACAAATAAAATCTGGTCTGAGATCAAAACAAAGAGCAAAACATTACTCGATATAAATGTAGAAGTTGAAAAAAAATTGAAAGAACTTAAGCAAATTGAACTTTGAAATAAAGTTGGTATTTTATCTTACTGAACAAAATTCCAAAACTATACACCAAAAAAAGCTTGTGATTGAATCTAAAATCACTTTTGATGACTTGACTGATGCAACCCCATCAATTACAAATAGTGAAGACAGTGAAAAAGGCTTACAAGAAAACTCCAATTCGTTAAAAGTTTTAAAAAGACCTGCGCCAAAACAAGATCAGTTAAAGAATGAAATTTTTATTTTACAAAAAGATATTGCATATTTTACTGAAAAAAGAAATTACCGAGATCTTGTACTTTGTCAAAAAGCCACTGAACGTCAAACAGCAACCAGGCTAAAAAGAAAAAAAGCAATAGAAGGTTTAAATCCGGGTATTAGAAAAAAGTTGTGTGGTATTTAAAATGCAGTATCAAAAGGTCGACCGCTAGCCTCTGATCAGGGCAGTTTAATTAAAACAATTGTAGATATTGCCTTGAAAGGTTCTGCTTCTGATGATAGGAGAAGAACTAAAATTGTTAGAACTGTAAAAACATTAGATGACTTGAAGAATTAAAAAACCATGGTTACAATCTCTCCAGATCAGGAGTTTACTTAAGATTACTTCCAAGCAGATCATTGAGCACAGAAGGAAAAAGACATGTTAAAACTGCACCTGTTAGACTAATAAGAGCACAAAATTCTGAGCATAAATATCATGCAGACACAAAATTTGCCAAATCATCCATCAGTGCCCTTGAAGAACTTGCTGCAGTCTTGGGTTTAAAAGAAGTGACGTTTCTTTCCCAGGATGATAAAGCTAGGTTGCCAATTGGATTGACTGCTTTAAACAAACAAGCACCAATCATGATGCATATGGAGTACAAGGTAACTTTAGCTGATCATGGTTTTGTAATTGCTCCTCAACACAAACTTATTCCTTCAGTAATTGCAGCCATAGAAATCAAAAAAGATTGCATGGAAAAACAAGCAGTCACATACTCTGGCCCAACATGCATAGCAATCAGAAGTGCAAAACATGATTCATCAACAGCACTTAGTCACTTTGAAGACGTTAATAGAATCAACCATCATCCTGCATTTGAAAGCAGCTTATTTACTGAAGATGGAGTTAGCTAACTAGTCATGATTATAACTGTTGATGGTGGGCCAGACGGAAATCCAAGGTACGAAAAAACAATTCATTGTGCCAAGACTTATTTCAAAGAGCATGACCTTGATGGCATGTTTGTGGCAACCAATGCTCCTGGCAGAAGTGCCTTTAACAGGGTAGAGAGAAGAATGGCTCCGCTAAGCCATGACCTTGCAGGAATTATACTTCCATTTAATCATTTTGGAAGCCATCTTAATTCAAGAGGAGAAACAACAGACAAACTTATGGAGAAGGCAAATTTTGCCAAAGCTGGCGAAGTTCTTGCACAAATTTATCCCAGCACAGCCATTGATGGATTTGAAACTATTGCAGAGTACAAAAAACCAAACAGTGAAAATCGTGTACAATTAAAGCAGTTTGGAGCAGAGTGGGATGCTAAACATGTCAAAGAAAGTCAATACTTGCTTCAAATTGTAAAATGTAATGATCAAAACTGATGTAGTCATCCAGGCTTGGTCGGGAAGCGGGAGCGATCGCTCTCAAATACTGACCACAGAAATTATATTTAGTTGCGAAAAACTGGCCAGGTTTTTTAGTCGTTTTGAGAGCATTTAAGTTTATTTATGAAACAAAAAGTTTTTGTTTTACGGACATACATGGAAACATACATGGAAACTTAAATGTTCTCAAAACATCTTGGTGCGAAAGAATAAAAAGAATATTTGCAAACACTAAAAACCCACCAAATTAACGAACAAACTAATTCTATTGGTTCAAAAAATACGCTGACTAAGCGGAATAAAATTTTGGAGCATTTTGTTGACATGTTTTAGAAATTATATTATTCACGATTTGTTACGTTTTCAGATTTCTAGCATAAATCGTTTTAAGAATATATATAAATTGTTTACAAAAATAAATGTTTTAAATATATATTAATTAAATTGTCAAAATTTTAAAAGTTTATTATAAATTATAGATTTTATTTGTACTTTCTTATTTTTTATTTAAAAAGTATGTATTCTTTATGTAAATATAATTTTGTTGATCTGTTTTTTATCGTAATGTATCTTTTAAAGCAATTTTTATGATTTAAAAAAAGACTTACAAAAATAATTGCGTTTTCAATAAAGTTATAATCGTTAAAGTTAATAAAACTAATCATGTAACACATATAAGAAGTTTCTGGTTACTAAACACAAACAACGCATACAAAGTAACTCGCGGATGAACAAGCACCGCGCCTGAGGTCACGACAGAACACAAATATATATAGCAAATAATTAGATATAAAAAAAAGTTTCTAGATATTGATTTACTAACTCTAATTATTTTCGCTTCATTTGCCATTCTTAAAAACTCGTTACACTTTTTTCTGCTTTAATTACTAATTGAATTACTAACTAATTAAAAAGCCCACTCACTAAACATCATCGGCGGTATTGTGAAGCAGTTTCGCTTCCTCGTCATATTTTCAACCTTTTTAGTTGATTTCTATCTTGTTAATTTAATGTCTATAGTAATTCAATGATTTAGTTATTTCATTTGTTTATCTTACTAAGAAGAATTGCTTCAAATATGTTAAACTTTTCAAACTACGCGAAACATAAAATAGGTATTAATAAAAATTAGCTTTTTTATTTATAAAATAATTTAGCTTAAATAAAACTAAAACTTGCAAACTTTGTTTAATAAAGAATATTTGTTTCCTTTTTAAACAATCGTAAGAAGTTACTTTAGATAAAAAACATCGCTTAATTTTATATAAATTTTTTTGTAATTGTCTCTCATCGGTCCAAATAATCTTAAGCGCTTTTTTTTTTTTGCTTGTTAAAATGTTCTCAAAACGACTAAAAAATCTGGCCAGCTTTTCGCAACTAAATATTATTTACGTGGTCAGCAATCGAGAGAGATTGCTCCCGCTTCCCAACCAAGCCTGGTCATCGTCGCAGCTCCACCAATTTCTTTGTTCCAAGTAGAAAATGGCCTTAAGTACAATAATACAAAGAATAACTTTGCAAGCCTCTTTTTAAACTTATCACTAAGCAAAACAATTTTTCCCAAGACAATTACAAAAGAGTTTCCCAAAGGATTGCCATACGACTTCTCATGTCCGAGCATTCAAAGTTCCTTACCAAAAAGAATTTGTACCAATTGAAGTCTATATTTTGCCACTATCAAATCAATGAAACAGAACAAAACAGTTTACTCAAGTATTGGATTATCGAATGAGATTCAAAAAGTTAAACCTCATCGCCTAGTTGCTCAACGTCTATCTGAATTCATGTGTGTCTTTTTAAATTCAGACAAAGAAACAATTGAATGGCATGATCAGGAGGATGTTGATACCTCTAATCTCAACTGGCCTTCAATAATTATTGAAGAGCATGGAACTCCAATACTTGAAGGTCAAAGTCCAATTTGGGAACAAATTTAGGACATGTTTCTTAAACAGAAACATGTCAAATGTATTTTTTTTTATATGAGCTGTTACAATTAAATAGACACTTGTGAAAGTTCCAAACTTTTGTCTTTGTCACGTCACACAGGGGTGGGGGTGGGGGAGTTTTTAAAAATGCCACAAAATGTCACATAGGGGAGGGGGGTCTCTAAAAATGCCTAAAAAAGTGTCACATATTATTTGAACAGCCCCTAAAGCAAGCACTCTAACCACTGCACCATGGTTGCATCAATTTTAATTTAGTTAATTTAATTTCAATTTTAATTTAGTTGGTAATTTAATATCAATTCAAAATTTATTTAGTTGTTTAAATGAAAA